GGTATTCTAGGCTACACTTTGGAAGGAATACAGCTGACCCAACAAACGTCAAATCACCAGCCACAATACACCAATTACATTTCCCGAAATCAACCATTACGTATAGATGTCTTATTTCATTGCACTGCGTGCAGTAAATTTGCCAGTACTTTATCACCTCTAATCATCCAGAATTTATTAATACTTTTAATCAAAACTATCCACAGCAAACCAGAAGTTTCATATTAGAAGAAAATGCCAAAATTTTCAGAATTAGTACTTAATTTAGGTAAGCAACTAGAAATTCAAATGCTGATCCAAAGTTTATCATCTGAACTATTTTGAACTTGATTTATAAGTCCAAGAGAGTTTATTTTTTGAAGATTTACTCCAAAGCTCTTTCTACGGACTTCTCAAAAAATTACTGTGGCTCTCTCCAGTGCCTGAGCTGTTCTACAACCTGTTTCTTCCACAGGTTACTGAAAAGGACAACAAGATTAAGCATTGCAAAGGAACATTATTTTGAGATGCGTGAGGAAAGGAGTGCTTTCAGAGCAGCAAATTTTTGTTTTCTTATATCATTACAATCTGGAACATAAAACATAGGAGATAGAAAAGTATTTCGATTGTTTCAATGAATGACAGATTTTCAGTAAACTGTTTTTAACTGCAGGCATAAAGGCACGCACATGTATACATCTTATCCAAAATAAGAACTAATTGAATAGGTAACTAACAATTTTGACATGTAACTGTTCATTTAATTCTTTTTCTTCTGACATTCAGATATTAAACTACATTGTATCAAAGCAGCCCAAATAGGTGAGGAACATTTCCTGCATTTACTCTGGATCAAATCAGAATACATTTCTTATATGTCTGTGTATATTCAGTGAAAAATCTGTTTATCTTTTCACAGATTCCCTACCTCCCACTCCAGTCTTCTGCTACTATCTTGCTAAGATAGTTTATGGACTGAATTTTGGTTTTAGATGTTAACTACAACTTCCTGAACCTTATTAAAAAGCCTATTAACAGTAATTCTATCTTTTTGCATGCAGAACCCTTTCCAATGCTTCATCTCCTTCTTTCCTTAAATGCAGTTATATTATGATTTGAGCTCTACTTGTCATATATGTTCTTTTTTTCTCCACAGTCGAGTCACTTTGCATTTTATTAAAAATAATAGGTGATGTAACATTACCCCATGGGGGAGAGAAATGAACAGTCACAGCTGGTTGTCTGGCTGTTTTCTCCCCTTTTCTATGGAACAATCTCTAGGCATAAAATCTAAGACGGGGGGAGAGAACAATGAAATATAGGGAACAAGTCAAAATTTCTTTTGTAAGTGGAATTCATTGCTGTTTCATTTTTTTTTTTTTTAAATTTCATGGATTTTTACTCAAACTATTCAGAGTCAAACTTCGCAATGATGACTTTCTACTCCTTTACTGATTCATCATGTAAAAGAGCTGCCTTATCCTTGTTTAAAAAACTGCATTTACAAAATACTGATTAATATAGGTTCCAACACCTCAGCTTTGATTTTGTTCAGGAAGAGAGTGGTGAGAACTTATTGTGAAACTGTATGCCTCAAACCACCTTTTTGATGATGGTGGTTTGAGGCTTATGTTGAATGAAGTAGCTTTTTTCGTGTTTAAAAGAGAATTTAAATTAGTGTGTTAGAGTTCTGGTGCATCTGTGCACCTATTTAATACCTCCCTGCAGGGATTGTTCTGGCTATCCCTAAGCTTGATGAGATGAGCAGCTTGGAGAAAGCATAAAACGAGGCATATGCAAAATTTTGCAAGATCCTTTACAAGGTAGTGGCCATTTATTCACATTTTAAAATCAACGTATAATAATTAAATATTCTCCTTTTGTTGGTATTCTGTTAATAATCAATAGTCTTCTGGTTTTGTATGATATTGTTCTTAAAAGCTGTATTGCATTATACATTGAACATACACACAAGCTGTTGGGATGCCCCAAGCATTACAGCTTGCTCATTAGTTCTAAAGATTATTCCAGTCTTTGGAAATTCAGAATGTACAATTCTCAAGCAAAGTGACTATTTTAAAATCTAAAATTTATTTAGCCCAGGAAAGCATACAGGAGGGTCTAGTTACTGTAGCCACATATAGGGAATCCATTTATGCTTCTGATACTCTGACCCATTAATAACCATAAACTTCATGTTGAGGATAAACTGAATTGATTATCAGTCAACACAAAGCCAGGAAAGCTTGATTACTGTAGGATATTTCAATTAGACTTAATATCATTAACTTCTCACAATTAAATTCAGGCACTTCTTATTTCCAAGCTTTAGAAATTCTTTCTGGGAAAGCAGAGGAAAAATGGATGCTGTGCATCAACCATCAGAACCCAGGTGACTTGAGGGAGCAAAGAACACTGTAACACCTGGAACTATTTGCAAAAAGCATCTTCAGTGTCAGTACATCCATCATGACTAAGGCAATTTACTGAAATTTAGCTAGTGCTGGTCAAAGATGCTAAACTTTAAGTCCTCAAGCCCTCGAACTTGCATTCATCTTCAGAGCAAGTACAACAGATCCACATTGTCTCACCTCAGCTTCAGTCTGAAGACAGTTGATAAGAGGGGAGGTCATGCTCTACTGCCACAATTAAAAGCAGTTTAAAGTACGTTAATGAGGAACAGGTTTTTGGAAGAATTCAGTACCGGGTAGAGCAGAGCAATGTCACTCGAAGGTCCTAAGAGTTTAGCTGTCATGGCAGTACCTGAAGTTCAGGTTGTTTCTATGATACCCCAAGGTGCCACCTCGAGGTTTGGGTGCGCCAGTATCTTTAGCAATTCATCTGCATGTGCCTTTTCCCATATTCTGACCTTTATGAGCACATATTTATGTGCAACTATAATTGACACTGAGCATTAATCAGACAGTGGTGTGTTTTAGGCCTTGACTACACTGTTTGAACTGCTGACCTCGAGAGAAAAGGTTTTATATACCATTCCCAACCCCTTAAGTCTTCCTGTCACTGCAAAGCAAGTACTTGGCTTTTATGGATGGATTCAATTTCAAGTCTGTTGTTTTTCTAATGTTTTGTTAAAATTATAAAAGTGGCTTTCAGGGAAAGTTTGTAAACATAGGCACATTTTTCGTTACAGATTATGACCAACACAGACAGATTTTTGTAAAATAGTGCATGATATATATATGTATAAGTGATAAAATTGTGCACTCAGGAACATTGTTTGTAGAAGCGTCCTGCAAGCAACTCTCTGCCTAATATTTTACGGTTGTTGGTAAAGACTTCTTCAACCAAAATGGTAAGAGGTCGCTCCTTCAGATTTACAGACTCCATCCCCTTTTACAGTGTGCACACCTTCGCAGTTACTCCAGCCACATAACTCCCAACCTTCCTTGAAGCAACTTGTGGTTTTGCTCCTTTCTATGCTCATGTCCATTCTTAGTTTTTCTCACCATTAGTCTCACTGGAATTTTTATATTCTGTCTTTTTAAATGTATAATGGCACAAACACAAATCACAAATATATTCTCAAATATAGTTCTCATAAGTGTACATTTAAAAAATGAGTATATGACCTCAAAATAAGTTACAAGGAGATATATGTAAAACTAGCAGGATCAAAGTTGTTAAAAAAATATAGAATGGTACATCTTGCTATCAATATGAAATGTACACACAATACTAGAAACCATGCTTAGAAAAAGAAAATTATATTCTAAAATAGAGCAGCTGAGAATATGATTATAATAGTCAATTAGTTCTCAAATATGAGTTAATTTATTTGTTTGGGTTTTTTTTAAACTTGAACAGTTTTTCTACAGATGGGTAAGTTCAGCATTTCTGGTACTTCTAGTCAGGTTTCTGGGTTTTTAGCTGTAACTCAGAGCCATACTTACTGCAAGATCTGTTAAACAGTTATCACATTGACTGTGATTGCATGAACTACCAAAGGAAGACTGACTTTGAAGGTTTCTGAAACCTTTTGCAAAAGTTACTTACAGCTTGTAACCAGATCAACTGAGTGTTGGTAATACTAAGTGGCCTACACAAGGGAGTAATGGCCAGCAGCTCAGGATGCTGTGTTGGTATATAGTACTTTAGATGTGTGAATTCGTGCTTTAGTGAAACAGCTACTGAGGCACTACAGCTGACAGAAAAAAACCCACACAATTAACAGAAACCAGATTTACAGAAAAAACAGACAAAAGAAGTTGGATGATGTCAAATGTAAAAAGGCAGAGAGAAGTAAACAACTATAAATTGGTTAATAGCAAGAATAAGCAGCATAGCTGGGAAAGCCAGACTAAGATGAATTCTGTAGTGCTACAGTTCAGCACATCTCCTTCCATTAAAGCCAATGGGATTTTTATTGCTGGGAATCTGTCTGTTCAAGTTTTGTAATGATACTCTTCCTTACTCTGTGTGGACAGTGAAACTCTGTGGTTGCTTTAAAATTACAAAACATTGTTTCAAACTCAGTAATGCTTCTTTTTGCAAGAACATAAGCTCATAGTGCTGAGCTGAAAACTGAAGAACTCCTGTAAAGTGTTTCTACTCCTTTTTTCCCTTTCAAAATTTTGTTGCTCTTTTTCCCTGTTCTCTTTTTTTCAGTAAGGCTTTCAAATCCTGGACACGATCTGTTTCCTAAGAGGAAACAGATAGCAATACTTGAGAGCAGCAGAAAAACTAAAATAAACCAAACCTATAGAAGACATTTATTTAGCTTTGAACAATATATATATATATATAATTTTATATATGGAGTAAAGCGAAGATAAGGTACCTTTCAAATTACAGTTTGGCCATTTTCAGACCTTAAAAAGAGCTCTTGAAACTCAGTTGTTGTATACACACATTTTTCTTGAAATCATTTGAAGAAAAATCTGACAAATTAATGAAAGAAGGCTGAAAACCACATTTTATCGCCAATCAATTTGTGATGGAATCACCTTCATAAGAAATTGGGGGAAGAAACTAGAAAAACCTGCAGTTTATGAGCATCCTACCTTTCTTTTGCGCAGTTTCACTTGACTGTCTGAATATTCCTGTGTGGTCAAATGATTCCTTACATATAAACACCGAATGTCTTCTGCTGAACTGACATTTGAAAGGCATTTATTCTCAGGGGCCACTTGAGGTTCTGTAAAACCACTTTCATCCAGACCATTTTCCACTGCAGGAACGCGAGAGCAAGGAGAAGATTGCATAAGGCAGTTGCTGGATTCCACTTCTGAACATAGCTGTCTATCACTGCTGGCGTATGATTCAGAAGAAATCCCTCTCTCTACCACATTACATTCAGACTTTCCAAGCCCATCTTTAAAAGCATCAGATTTCCGGCGCTGTTGTGCAATTACAGCAGTATGAAGCAGCTGCTTCCCAGGCATAATAATTTCTTTCATAGTTGGAGAATTAGAACAATTTTCTTTCTCTACATTCACTACTTCACTTAAGCCTTCATAATTACAAAGCTCTGGGCTTTTAACATTACTGCCACAAACATCATCTTCATCCATCTCCTGTTTAGGAACTATATCACAGTCAGGTTTCTTACATACATCTCCAATTATTCCAGGTGCTTTATCTTCCTTGTTACCCTCTGTTATTGGTACCATCTGTGTTAAGGAGCCTGCTCCATTTAAACTCTTCTCTTCATCTTTTGGTTCACTTCCTACAGCAGCTATGGGGTAATTAACACTATCCAGGTTGAGTGTTAAATAGTCATCATCGTCATCAGACACATGGACCAGAGTTTCTGTACTAGCCTCAAGAAAATGCTCCTCATCCTCATGGTTATCATTTTCATCCACCTCTTTGGAAATATTTCCCAGCTGCTTTACAGGGATGCCAACCAACTCTCCACTATAACAGCACTCTGGAAACGAAGCGCATTTTTCTTTCCGGTCCACGCTCAAAACCTCATCTTTTTCCATACTTGTCTGCAAGTTATCGGCTACAAGTCCGTGACGACATGCTGTATTATACTCCACAGGTTCCAAAGCAAATCCCATCCACTGGGTCACATGCTCTTCCCAGCTTTTCTTTCTGATTGCTAGAGACATGTCATAACAGTTCAGCAGCAGGCTGCAACATACCTTCCACAGAGGACCAGAGGAGATGTCATGGCTGCTGTGAACTGCTCCAGAGGGATAGAGGGTTTCATCATTTTAACATCTGCAAGAAATGAAAAAAAGACTTGGTTATTGAATCAACTCCAAATAAAAAAAAAAAGGGAAGAAATAGTTTAAACAAAAGTGTAAAAGCAAGATAAGACTGCGGGACCAGAAGGATAGGAATTTAGAAGACTGTTTTGTTTAAAGTTTTAATACTTTTCATACAAAACTTGACAGCACTCATAATTCAGTATAACTCTTTTTCTGATTACTCTCCAGTATCAAGTAAACAAAAATGGTAGAAATAAGTGTATGAATAGGCAAGCAGCTCCAGAGCCAAAATTTGACAGTAAGTCTCTCTTCACTATGTCTGTCACAAGATATAAACTTCCGTGGGTATAAATGGCATTATGTCTCACAGTTGCTTTGCACACAAAATTGCTTTGCATTTCTTCCTCATCCAGAGATACCCATGGAGTACAGAATTCAGGCTGTTTTCCAAAGAGGTAGAGCAGAACTTGAGGGTTATTCCAAATTTACCAGAGTTATAAACCACTTGTCTTATGAGTAGCTTTGGCCCATTCGGTGGCTTTCATTTTTATTGTTATTGTTTCACTCTCCCTGTTTTAGTTTTCTTTTCCAAACCGTAAGTCGCTCTCCGTCAGGTGTTTTCTGGTAATAAAAAAATACAATCCTAGGAAAACTAACTTAAGCTTTTGGCATAATCCTTACCTCAAATACACTATAAAACCTGAAAAGAAAACACCCTTGATTAATATATTCAGGATCTACTAATGCAGGGGAAGGAAGAAACCCTTATTTAGGGTGGGGCTCTTCAGAAGCACAGCTTGTGACCCAGCATGGACAGCCATAACTGGCCACTCACCTGAACTGTCGGGCTCTGCCAGAGCCCACTGTCCCCACTTGATTCTCTAGGTGGGTATTTTTCATTGACTGCTATATTGGGCCTTCTGGAAGATAGCATTTGAAATAGATACATTAATCTTGTCACACCGCATGTGCAAATTAGCACAAAGAAAATACCTCATATTAATTTATGCATTATAAAACAAAATTAACAAGTTCTTTGTCAAATAACGAAACAAAACTTCTGGCCTGTAAAACATTAGAAGTTAAAGGAACAGACACTTCTACTTTTCACTCCCTACATAACAACTGTCAGCACTTAGCATGGATCTGCTTATTGATTTCAGCAATAAAGAAGATTAAGCACCAAGTTTGTTCTGGGTCATTTCAGTCCACTAAGGCAAATTCTGATTGCCCACCAGGCCACAAAGCTGCCTTGACAAATCACATGCCTGAAGGTATAAAAGTATTCATCTTGAAAGAAATGCAGAATTATGCCTGTGCAACAGAACGTCTGTAAATTAAGTCCTGACAAACTGACTTTCAGTATAGAGTTGTACACACTCCTAGATCTTTAGCCTTCTTTGAGGATGGCAAGCTTCATTTCACATTCACATTTTCCACCTCTGTGGAGACTGTGCTTAGAAAGAAAATATATTCATAGGGTACGAGAATTCCATGCACAAGTCATTAGCGTGTGGGAGGCTGAGGAAAACGGAAAATAACGCACAGAGCCAGGCCAAAAAAAATTATCTGCTTTCAGAGGCAAAATTTGGTAGTAAGAGGTTAATACAACTTTCTCTTTTCTCTCCTGGTCAAATCGTGGAATCATACAATCATTTTTGTTGGAAAAGACCTTTAGGAACATCAGGTCCAACCATTATCCTAACACTAGCAAGCCCACCACTAAACCGTGTCCCTAAGCACCACATCTGTACATCTTTTGAACAACTCCAGGGACAGTGAATCCATATGAGAGCAAGCCTAAATATTAAAACATAAAGTCAAATGATTGTATAAATTTGCAGCTCATTTGCATTCTTATTCTGACTTCATTTCATATTTATATTCTCCCACTATTTCTAAGTGTGCGTGGTCCAAAATTACCACAGAGTGCAAATCAATAATGATAATACTTTTAACTTCTGCTGCACCTTTTCTTGATGGACCTTGAACCTCTTCAGAAGCAATTAAATTATCTTTACACTGAAAAGAGGCAGGTTTACTAAAAGGGGCTGAATGATTTCTACTGCCCTCCATTAACATTGCTTGGAGTTGCACCTAGGTTCCCTCTCTCTTCCCCTACTAGAATAGTAGCTTCGTCTACGTTACAGAAAATTACAGATGGTTGCTACAAACATATAGGGGAATTTCTGACAAAAATGAAGAGAAGACACCAGTAATGTGACGTGTAAAATACTAAAAAGTGCAACTTCTAATGACGTACGTGCACCCATTGCCTAAGATTTAGGCTGCTCTTAATGTGCAGAAGGCAGGCATTCAAAGAGTTAATGGGTGTGTGTTAGTCTTGCTGCTGCTAAATGGAGTTACACGTGTGCAGAAAGAGGAGAACAGATCCCTCACTGTTTTTCATTTTTTGGATGTGGAGAGTTATATTTCATGGGAGATGAAAAACAAATAAATTTTACTTTAGGAACCCTTCTGTTTTACTTGTGCTATCACTGGTTTTGGCTGCCTCATAGACTGCAGAAAAAATTATTAAACAGGGGAACATCAAATACTTTGCTTGAAATGGAAGACAAATAAATACATGACAAGGGCACTTTCATTGTTCTCTAAAATACAAGTTTACATTAGCACTGAATATAAAAATATTACCTTACATATACCCCCTCTCCAGACAGCTTCAGCTACCAGTCCCTGAAATCCCCTCATTTCCCATGGCACATGAAGGAGCCCATAGTTTGGTGGAAGCCTACTTTTCTCCTGCTGCCCCTCCACTCCTCAAAGTCTGCACTGTCTGACACAGTTTAGCTTAGAAGTGCTTTTCCTGCTATAATTGCTTGACAGTTACAGGCTGACAAGGAAATTTTTTCTCTCTTCTATGTCTGTATTAAGAATAGCCTATTTCCTTTGCACTCATATGCAGGCGCATAAGTTGTGCTTTGGAGGCTTCACAACTCCAGATCTCTGAATGAGATTCATAACTGTGCTCCTTTCTCTGCCAGATAACAATGTGCACCGCCACTTTGCAGAAGAAAGCGTTCTTGTCTTGATCACTGCTTTTCTGCTGTTGCTGCTTATATTTTTCTTGACATGCAGTATCTTTTGTCCTCTGAGAAATGCCCTTCTCAAGTCCATTTGTACTGTTCACAAGGGAAGAGATGTCCTTCTTTCACCCTTTCCATCATTACCATCCCACAACTAGAAATCTTTGTATCTGATTTTTCCAGATTTTTAAGGCAGGCAGATGACTGCTTAGCAGTCTGTTGAGATGTTTTGCAGAGTGAAAAGGACTTTTCTTCTGATAAAAGCGTCTGTCAATACGATACAGTCCACTCAGCTGCTCCCATAATTCAGACTTATATTTTGCTTTTAATTTTCAATGGCAGTAGTTTAGTACTGCTTAGTACTTTCAACTTTCTGAAGAATAAAAGATTGAACAAAATACGAATGATAAAGATTTCTAGACAAAATTTCTTGATCCTGGATATGAGTTGAGGAATATTTGCCATATTGACCCAGTAGGCAATACCTGACCAAACAAAAAGGAAGTGAGCAGTGGGAGATCACGCTGCAGCAGAAACCCCTTCAAGCACCTTACGTGATGCTTCATGGTGTTTACAAAACAAGATGTCATTTTAAATGGATTTTGTAATAACTGCCTGCCTGTTGTCTTTCACTGTAAAATATAATGTAAATGAAAAATATGGCAAGATTTTATGCTTGTTTATTTTTGGAAGTTTCGTATCAAGTCTCACAGAACTAATAGGTATTTTGAAACTGATAAAGCACAGAGTGAATTGATGCGTAAGATGAACTGGTAGGCTCTCCTATAATTAAATTTTCCAACATATTCCTTCAAGGAGGATTCCTGTGATTTTTTTCTGAGAAGCTCAAATTAAACTCTTTCCAGCAGGCTTTCAAAATTCAGACAGAGAAACATCCTTTCTTTATCTTGCGAAATTCCATTCAGGTTTGGCCATGTCGCACATTTTTCAATACACATTTTACCTTCTCTCACTTCCCTCCTCAAGGAAATGTGATGGCCTACAAGAAGTATCTTTAAACAAAACAGCCCCGATACCTATGACTGACACCCCATGAAAGCTGCACAAGCTACAGCAGGAGGTGGAGCTAGAGTGAGAATGGAAAGCAGAGAAAGGAGACTAACTCAAATGTCTGTATCTGTGACTACCCAGACCTGTCAGAGACCCAGCTCTCCTTCTGGGGCACAGGACGGGACAAGAAAACCTCCCAGTTACAAGAGTAGGGAGGCAAAGGCACAGAACCAGGGCTCTCTGGTCCTCCATCTCCTTCCTCAGCCTTCCAGGACACAGGAGCAGAGACCACTTTATTTTTCCAGGAGTGGAAGAAAGGGGCAAGGAGAGAAATGTAGAACCATTCAGCAGCAGCAGCCATCATGTGAGACAGGGCAGTGAACGCCACACAATTAGAACGGAAGGGCTACAGCAAAAGCAGACATAAATAAGACACCACCATGCAGGAGGACACCTTGGTGGAGTCCCCACCTGGCAAAGGTGAGGACAACCACTGACCCAGGTTGTGACATCACTGTTGCCCCCACAAGATCCACCATACTGACAACACATTGCACCATGCATAATTTTCATGTTGCAATAAATTAAAAAGCTTTGGAAGGGAGAAAGTCACAAAGAACACAGGAGAATTTACTAAGTATAAGTGGCTGGAGAATTTCAGAGAAGGCAGCCCAGGCAATACAGCTCTTGCCATCCTGCCAGTGGAATTCAGTTTTTGCTAATGCTTTACATGGGATGCAAATCTTTTCTGTGAAAAAATAAGCCAAAGCTTTAGCTTACAGACTTGCACAGAGATGAAAGACTGTTTCATTACATTTTTTACATAGCAGGCATATGTAA